AACCACCGGGATTTGTTGCTGCGGGACATGAGAAAAAAGTGTACAGGCTGAAAAGGGCTCTTTGTGGGCTCAAGCAAGTACTAAGAGCTTGGAATACCAAAATTGATGCTTACTTTATTAGAGAAGGATTCATGAAGTGTCCACATGAACACTCTTTATACGTGAAATCAAAGGTACTCATGTGTTATTTATATGTCTATATGTGGATGATATGGTATTCACAGGCAATAACAACACTATGATTCGAGAATTCAAGCAGTCGATGGAGAAAAAGTTTGAGATGACAGATCTGGGTATGATGAGATATTTCTTAGGCATCGAAATACATCAAGATGAAGGTAACATTTTTATCTTCCAAGAGAAATATGCAACTGACAATTTTGCAGAAGTTTTCTATGGATGATTCTTTGTCCATAGACACACCGGTGGAGTGTGGTACAAGATTGACAAAAGAAGGAGACGGAAAGCCTATAAACCAGACATATTATAAGTCTTGTGGGCTGCTTGAGGTATCTGACTTGTACCCGACCTGATATTTTATATGGAGTAGGGTTGGTTAGTCGATACATGGAGAATCCAAAGTCTTCCCATCTTGAAGCTGCTAAGCGGATTCTCAGATACATCAAAGGGACAGTTAATTACGGGTTGTTATATTCATCTAAAGGAGAAGCAAAACTCATTGGTTATAGTGATAGTAATTGGGCTGGAAGTTATGATGATCGCAAGATCACTACCGGATTTGTGTTCTATTTTGGTGATGCAGCATTTACTTGATCTTCAAAGAAGTAATCGATTATCGCTCTGTCAACATGTGAAACAGAATATATAGCGATATCTTTGTGTGTTTGTCATGCTATATGGTTGATGAGACTTCTTGGAGAATTGATATTGAAGCAAGAAAATACGAAGAGGATTTACGTGGATAATAAAATCAGCTATTGCTCTGGCGAAGAACCCTGTTCGTCATGAACGTTCGAAGCATATCGACACACGATTTCATTTCATTCGAGAACATGTCAAAGCTAAAGATGTTGATTTGTTGCATGTGAGTTCATGTGATCAAGTTGCAGATATTTTTACAAAGGCTTTTGAAGATGGATGCATTTCAACACTTTTAGAAGCAATTCGGAGTCCAAACTCGATGAGGAACAAGTTTAAGGAAGGCTAATGTTGGAAATTAAACTTGTCCTAGTATTTTGAATTCTAGATTTGTGTGTTCAAAATATTCCTAGACTTCAAGAAAATAATTATGCTAAGTTAGACCAAAATTAATCATGTCATTATGGAGTTTTTCTAGAATGTTCTTAGTATTATTATATATAGATGGGGTTTTGGAGTTTGTAGAACAACAAAAAAATACAAGAAAAACAAAGAAATACAACGAGTATTGAAGAGTATTTTTTTATACTTCTTCTTCTCTCATTATCTCTAGTTATAAAGTATAAGAAAAAAGTTTAGGCGCTTACAAGTGTACTGGGGTTCTTGTAAGTTTATATATTCTTTTTATTGCTTATTGTCAGATTCTTAATCTTAAATGATATTCTTCATATAATTTATATATATGTTTGGTATTGGAGGATAATCCAGAAAATATTTAGTTTTTATCTGAATTTTGTACAAAAGGTTAAAACAATTTTGTAACTTTTTTATAAATATTATATATATAATGATTAATTTTAGAAAAATCAAATTGTCAGTTATAAAAAAACTAAAGGTATTTGTGCAATTCTAGTAAATATAAAACATGTGTTTGCATATATATCGGGGTTTTGAAAAATTGGCAATAGAAATCACAAAAATACGATTACGAATCAGGATTTGTTCTCCGGATAATTTTGATATATAAATATCCAAACTCGAATATAAGGTTTGACAATGCGTGATTGAGTAAATAATTCAATAGAACAAATCAATTAATTTTTCTATTTATCGATATTCCTTTTTTTTCTGAATTTAAAACAAAAAAGAACTGCTAATGGATGAATTGTATGTAAAATTTTTCTATTTAATAAGGCAGAACACGGTGTGGTGGGAGTCTAACTAAAAAAGAGAACTCCACACACCAAAAACAAAATATCTACAAGTATAGGATTTGTGCATCTAATACAAAAAAAAAAAAAATCATTCACAGAGGTATTGGGTTATCTTGTCCCGAGCAACGTCTCTGCTCAAACGCGCGTCCTGGTCGCACCGCCCCCCTTCGTGCCGCAAAACGCTGATGACGTTTCTGTACGTCAGCAAGTCCTTCTCCACCTTGCCCATCGCCCATTCCAACCGCGATTTCTTCTCCGCCGCCGCGCTGTCCACCGTCTCCTCCATTGATTTCATCACGTCCTCGAATTGATTCACCAAACCGCTGATTTTCGCGACTTCGCTCAACGCAAGACCCGTCCCCCGCTCCATCGAACTAATCGCTGCCTTTTGGCGTTTCAGAGCGTTTCGCGATTTCAGCCATACGGTGGAAATGAAAACACCCAGAGAACCCATCGGCACGAACGAGACGGCGGCTCGACGGAGACGGCGGCCCCCAACGCTGCCAGCACCGGCGGAGCCACCGTTACACCGACCAGGACAGCGGAGATAACCACGGTGGCAACCGCCGCGAGGAACAGCGTTATCGTAACTCTCCGGCGCCGGCGTATTCTCCGGAGTTTCCTGTTGAGCTTTTTGGTCGTCAGATTCAGTTTTCCGATCACCTTGACGAGATCGGCGTGACAGCTCTTAAACAGCTTGGTGAATTCTCCGGCGAAAGGGTCGTCGCTGGTGAAATCTTTGAAACTCCTAAGATTCTGGAGAGTTTTGCTGAAATTCCCTTCTTCTCTCTTTTCCTCCACGAAACCGGAGAGAATGTGGAGAATTAGGGTTTCTCCAAGATCAGCTTTCCCCAGAGATTTCTTCAGAGATTCACAGAGAACGTATAATTCAGCATTTGTGTTGAAGAAATCGTTGGCCAGGTCAAGCAGATCTGGGTTCTTCCGAAGATCCCTGTCGGAAGACAGGAAGAGCTGTCGGACATCTTCGTTCATGGTGTCGATGCAACCGGTTAGTGTGCTAAGAGAATCGTACGACGCTGATCGGATCTTGAGGCCGTTGGAGCTGACGGGCTCTGGGTTTTGTGGTTGGATGGGAACCCTAGAAGAAAGAGAAGGAGACGAAGAGCTCCGTCTCATCCGCGCCGTCAAGACAGGAATTCTGCGTCGGATACCGAAAATCTTCGACATCTTTGTCATTCTTCTCCAAAATCAAACACGAAAACAGAAGATCAAGAACAGTACAAGAGCAGAGAATTCAGGAAGAAGAGCGAGAGAGAGAGAGAGATCGCAATGTGTATGGAAGAGAGAGCGAGAGAGAGCAATGTGTGTGGATTAGCCGTTGCGATCTTGATATTATAGGCTTCGAAATTCCCATTTCTCTCTGATAATTCAAATTTAAATTTCAAATTGCTAAACGTTCATCTAGATTTTCAATTTTGTGAATCATACGATGCATTTTGTTATTTCAAATTTTCATTTTGTTAATTATTATCTAATAAAACATTTAAAAAAATAGAGAAAAAAAACGGCCCATTTCGGCCCAAACCCCAAAGGCCCCAAGAAGAAGCTCGTGGCGGAGAAGGCGGTCGAATCCATTAAACCCGGCATCGTCCTCGGTCTCCGCACCGCCGCCTTCTCCGCCGCGAGCTTCCTTTGTATGTAATTTGCTTTTTCTATTTAACTTGTAAACATGTTCATAGTTGAATATACAGAGAATTCTCTTTGCTTCTGTATTCTAGGTTCTCGGCAATACTCTAGCCGAGAACTTCTTTCGATCCTCTTTCTCTTCTTCCACTAAAATTTACAATATTTAATTGAGGCGGTGAAGATTTGATTGAAAAACCTGAAAAAAAAAAACAAAAAGAAAAACTTATTTCGACATTTTAGGTTAAAATTAGAATCTAAAATCTGCTTTTAGTATTACAGTTCCCGAATCTGAAATTATACACATACATATATGTAGATTTCTTAAATATTTGAATGTTAAGAAATGAAAAACACTAAAGCAAAGAGAGGTGATCTTGCATGATAAAGAAAAAAGATCACTTTATTTCTCATATTAGAATGTACATCCAAGAGTGTTACATATATATACATAATATGATAAATAAAATAAAGGAAAGTATAGAAACGGGTAGTTACAGGAAATGGTAATACATGTAGACAAAAGGAAATAAATATGTCTTGGTGTATATGTTGCATGATTCACTTCATTTCTTTATTCTGCAAATAGACCAGAATATATTCTCCATAATTGTAGATTGTTGCCTGATCGTAATCTCCATATTTAGAACTTCCATGCATGTCTTCGTTTCTTGTTTGTCTGAATTTTATCAACTTGTTCGACCGAACCGTAATATCGTGTTCGTCCGAACCGATATGTTTGTCCTTTAACACTTTGTCCTTCAACAATATATATGGGTTTATGAATTTCTTTTTGTCCAATGGATTTATGTGTCTCTGGTGATTTTTTTGTATTTTTAGTTTAAGTATGAAATTTTAATATTTTGTTAGATTTTTTTGAACCGCGGTGATAATAAAATAAGTAGTCCCAATAATGTTTTTTCCTAGATTCATCTCTATGTAAGATATATATAATTACTATGGTTCGTGTAGTGTATGTATGTATACAATTTCGTATTATTATCACCAAGACAAAGGAGAGAAATTTTGCATACCAGACGTTCATAAATTACAACTGCTAAATTGCTATCACGCATTCTTACAAAAAAAAAAAAAGTTGCTATCACGTAAAACCCTAAGACTAAACCCTAAACTCTTGAATAGCCATTAAAGTCTAAGGCAAGGCATGCCACAACCAACTCTGCCAAGCCAAGCAATTATATATGCCAGACATTTATTATCGTTGTCATTTTTTGGACATTTATTCGAGTTTTAAGTAGGGCTTTAGACCCATTAATGGCATTTCTCTTCTGTGTCTCGTCTTGTTATATATATATATATATATAGAGAGAGAGAGAGAGAGTAGATCTTATAGGTGCATGATCATGCATACGCTGCATGAAATGCAAACGTGAACGATAAACCAAAATAAATGGTCGTCAGATAAGTGACCTCGAATTAAACAGAAAGTAATTAAACATCTTCTTAATTTCCTCGATCTAGGGAGACGTAGAAATGTGTTGAGCTTCTATACCTCTGATCATTTCGACGAAGCTCAATGCGTCATCGTTGATCCAACCATACTTCTCCTCGAAAGGATTACGAGTTTCCATCATCTCCGGGTAACGTTCGACCGAATCATTCCAAACATTTTCGCCGTTCATATCCTTTGTAATCTCCCAAACGCAACTGATACACTCTACTCCTGCGCTCAGTCCGATCATCAGAATCCTGTCACCTTTCGTCAGCCTCTTCTTCGCCTCCATGTATCCCAAAACGTACCAAACTCCGCCCGACGACGTGTTACCGAACCTGTGGAGCGTTACGCTCGACGGCTCGATGTCGTATCCGCAAAGTCCTAAGCTTTTCCCGATGGATTCGATGTTTGCCCTTGTCGTGGGTTGTATGCAAAAGTGCTGTATCCCGCTTTTCAGGTTTAGTCCGTTCTTCTCGCCTGTAGGTTTTCCTTTCTTCGATAGTGAACGTACTATCACGTAACGAAGAAGTTCCTTCATGGGCAAGACCTTTGGAAGTAGAACTCGAAGGTTTTTCGTCAAGGCTCTCACCGCCGAGTTTTTCAAGTATTTGGTCTGTTGAAAACCTCGTCTCCCTTCTGTGTCCTCCTTCTGTAAGCAACAAGAGTATGCAAGGTCTTCTGATCCGATGTGTGTTCGGACCATGCTCTTGAGCTTCATGATGGATTTGTTCTTCATTTTAGCTTTGTTTGTCAAAAGAACCGAGCTCCCTCCTACCCGGAAATGACAGTTCGGGAGCATCATTGATCTGTCTTTGCCACTGTACCAGCTCGGACCCATTGACTCGGTGCTTACAACAATCGCCATTGCGTTTTTATGCGTCATGAAATATCGCTGGACGAGATCTACTGATATGACACTCGCTCCACAACCTAGCCCGGAGAGATTGTAGGATTTGATATCTTCCCTCATCGTGTACCTCTTTATCACCCGGGAAGCGAGAGAAGGGGCCGGTGAGAAGAGGGATACGTTCACGACAAGTACGTCGATTTCTGAAGGTGAAACGCCCGTCTTTACGAAGAGACTGTCCAATGTGTCGAAAACGATCTCGTCCATCTCAGAATACGCGTCGAGAAGAGCTGGACACTCTTCTCGGCCTTCGAGGACGTTGCTTGGGCCGTAAGTTTCCTCTCCAATGCCGGAACTGACCATTGTCCTGAGGAGAAACCGGTAATCTTCAAGGCTCAGGTTCTTGTTCCGACCAGCGATCTGCATACACGTTTTGCTGTCGAGCTTTCTCTCGTGTTTCCCCTTGTAACACTCGTAGTGAAGCACAAAGCATCTCCTGTTTCTTCTTTCAAGAACCGATTTGAAAACGCAGAAGATGACGTGGGAAACAAGTAAAAGACATATCACTGCAAGGAGTTCCATTAGATCTATTTAGAGAGAGATTGCGATAATATGATGTATGGTCAACTGTGAAACGGTGTTTTTTTTAGGGTTTGAAGAGTTCTTCGTGATTTTATAGGGTTAATAACAGAGTGGTTTTTTTTTTTTTTATGAACTGTAAAAAAGATAAGGTTTTGATTGTTTTACATTTATTGGATTTGGTGAGAGGGCATTTACTCTCACTCTATCAACTAACTATTTATGGATTTGAATTTATCATATTGAGACATAGAGAACCCACTTGTGACCGTACAAACAACCCACGCCACAGACCGCATTATTTCTTTATTTAATTTGTTTTATTGGGACAATGTTTCCAGTTTTGTAAAATTACATCATTTGATTTTCATATAATTTTTTAATTTGATTCGGATTTTATCGGTGTTATGTTTTATAAAATTCAACTTAAATATAATCATATATTATCTATTTCGTTTGATTCAATTCTAAATTTCACGACCTAAATATATAATCATATATTTTTTATTGCTGAAGTGTTTATCCATAGTTGATATTATCGTCAATGCTACAAAAGTCAACATTCACTTGGTAGTTAATACTCATTTAAGAACCAACGGTACTTAATATATCTTATAGTATATATATATATATATATATATGAAACAATTTGTGGATTTTACATGATTTTTTGGTGCCACAAAAATATTTTAATGAACATTTTATCTTCTCGACTCATATTTCATTTTGTGGGGGGGGGGGGGGGTAAAAAATCGGCATGTATATTTATAGTTGTAAACAATTTCATTATAATGAACAGTGAACATTATCACATTAATTTATGTGTAAATATGATTTTTTTTTGTTTTAATTTTTTACGTCTCGTTTTAGATATCGATGTAATAGAGAATTACCCAAGCCATGAGTGGATATATGTATACAAATAGAATATTTTTTTTTATGGAATAATAAGTATGTACGTGGATATTTTTTGTTTAAAGGGTAGACGAGTTTGTTTGATGAGTTTTTAGATATGTATTAACTGAGTTTTCAAAATTGATTTTTATACAAAATTAGAAGTTCATTTATTTATTTATCAAATATAAAAATTCATTTTTTTGGCGATATTCCTAATTATGTATATATATGGATCGTAAATGCATGATTATATATGCACCCATGACATGAAAATGCAAAAGAAATAGAATTTATTGTCGTCATAAATGCATGATTATTTTTGTCTATCCAATTATTTCTGTTATTAGATGACTCAACTGGTAAAGAATATCTTTTCCAATTCATGTTGAGTCTTCACTTTAGAAATGACATTCATGTAGATTTTTCCGATCTTCTTTCGGAAATAAGTTGAGTGAGAACTTCCAGATTATATATATAAAAAAAATTATATTTGTTCACAATTCTTATAACAACACATATTTATACTATAAATCCCTATTTCTAACACATTTAATTATCATATATTTAACTCATTTTCAACCCTAACTAACTTTAATATTCTTCATATTTCTAACTAACACACCAAACTTTCATCACATCCAACCTCTCAATATTAATCACATCTTTAACCTCGTACCAAAGTACTTGAACATATTAATTATTTTCCAGAATCAAACTTTAATATAATCTTCATGATACAGTACATGTGTAGAATCCATGCTTCAAAGTACAAAAGAAATGAAATAAAGTTCGTTTCATCAAGCATCCTTCTTCTCCGCAGCCGACGCAGAGATACGCTTAGCTGCTAATCCTTTTATCATCTCGAAAAAGCCCGACTCGTCTTCGTTGATCTGATCATACTTCTCCTTGAAAGGGCTCGTGATTTTCAGCACATCGGGATAGCGTTCGATCGAGTCGGCCCACGCGGCGTTCTTATCGTCCATATCCTTCATAACCTCTAGAACGCAGTTGTTGCATTCAAATCCGGCACCCAGACCGATCATCAGAATCTTGTCACCCTTCTTGAGCCTCTTTTTAGCTTCCATATATCCCAATATGTACCAAACTCCGCTGGACGACGTGTTACCGAACCTATGAAGCGTGCTTTTCGCTGGCTCGACGTCAAATTCGCTAAGCCCTAAGCTTTTCCCCATGCCTTCGATGATCGCCCTTCCTCCTGGGTGTAAGCAGAAGTGTTGAATTCCGCTCTTTAGGTTTAGTCTACGGCCCGAGGATTCGCCTTTCGTACTTCTCTTCAGTGCCCGACCTATCGTGTAATGAAGCAGTTCCTTCAAGGGCAAGACCTTTGGAAGCAACACTTGAAGGTTTTCCGTCAACGCCATTGTCGCCGCCTCTTTGACGTATTTGGTTAGGATACAGCCTGGACGTCCTTCTTTGTCTTCCATCTGTTGGCAACATGAGTAAGCTTCGTCGTCAGATCCAACATGGGCACGAACCACTGTCTTCAGCTCCATGATGGCTTTGTTCTTCAGCTTTGTCTTGTTTGTTAACAGAACTGATGTCCCTCCTGCCCGGAAGAGACAGTTGGAGAGCATCATCGATCTTTCTACTCCACAATACCAGATCGGACCCATCAGCTCTGTGCTGACAACGATTGCCAGCGAGTTTTTATACGTTCTGAACAGGCTCTGGACAAGACCTATCGATACAACTCCGGCACTGCAGCCCAATCCGGAGAGATTGTAAGACTTGATGTCTTCCCTCATCTTGTATCGGTTTATTACCCGAGACGTCATAGAAGGAGCCGGCGAAAAGAGCGAGACGTTCATGACAAGTATGTCGATTTCAGACGGGGAAATGCCGGTCTTGGCAAAGAGCTTGTCCAAAGTATCGAACATGATCTCGTCCATCTCCGAGTACGCGTCGAGAAGGGTAGGGCACTCTTCTCTGCCTTCGAGGACGTTTCTTGGGCAGTAAGTTTCCTCTCCGATGCCTGAACGAATCATTGTCCGGAGGAGAAACTGGTATTCTTCAAGACCAAGGTTCTTGTTCCGGGCCGCTATCCCCAGACAGGTTTCGCAGTCGAGCTTCGCCTCGTCTTTTCCCTTGTAGCACTCGTAGTGAAGCACAAAGCATCTCTTGCTTCTCTCCTCGAGAACTGATCTCACGAGGGAGAAGATGGCGTAAGACACAAGTAAAAGACATGTCACTGTGAGGAACTCCATTGGAGAGAGAGAAAGAGAGATTCAGAAACACCAAAAAAAAAAAGGAGTTTGAATGTGTATAATATGAATTCGACCTTGAGAATTTTGTGGGTTTTTTTTTTAAATATAGAGTTTAAGACAAGTTCACATGGTTCTACGTACGTGGTTTTATAGGGTTTATACCTCTAGGGTTTTGTTTCAAATTCAATTGAAGGAATCTTGGCGAATCTGGTAATTTATGGATTTGAATTTTCTGTGGACTGACATATCTTCTTGTCGTGATACAGAAACACCCACTTGGACAGTAAGAAAAAACATCATCTCTTTTGTTTTAAATGCCCTTATCGTCGGCAGCGAACTCCAAGGCTGACTTTCTTGGCTCTGTTCTTACACAAATTAATTGCCGATATTATTGCGAAATGTTATAAATGTCTGTCTTTCACCATGGATGGTTATTCGTCACGATCGAATTTCACATTGACTGTATACCATGCTTATCCACGAGGAGAAAAGTATGATACAATGTAGAAATTGATAGGCTTTTTTTTATTTTATTTTGGTTATATGAAGTAATTTAAATAATTACGATCAATTTTAGTGATATTGAAAATCGCTGATCTCACTATGCAATTCATTTACATCCGTCCATATATCATATCAAAGTTACAATTCAGTTTGGGTTTAAGTACGATTACCTTCGAGTTCAAATTACTTTGTTTGAAAAAAAATTTATATCCATGTTATATTTCAATTCTTTTTGTATTCTTTTCGATTTCGTTAATTTTTTTTAATTTTAATTTTCATCTTCATTCGATTTTTTCGAATATTTTTATATTCAATTCGGTTTTTATTCATTTGATTTAAAGGAAACTGGACCACTTAGACTTTTAGGTGTAATTGAAATATATGGTATATATTTGGCAAAAAAGATAAAAATTAAGAAATATTTATATATTAGTTACTTCATTTTGATTTTTTTAAATCTAAACAGAAATGTCAAAAACCTAAATATATCTCGGAGAGAGATAAAAACCATAGAGGTGCGAAGAATTAACTTTTTTTGGATAATCCGCAAATTCAATGCGTTTTCGGTCTAACTATATCGCAGAGAACTAAAAAAACCCATGTGAATATCTCTCTACAAATAGAGAGTCGAACCTCGATCATGAATTAACTTCATGATGTCATAAAGATCCATGTCATAGATAGAATCATCTACCACTTTCAATTTCATCATGTGCCTATTGAACGAGCAATAGATAATCAAGGTTTAATTAATTATGACTAACAAAACGAGTTCAGCTTGCGAATTGGTTTGTTATCGGTTCATGACGAATCGATCCGACCAAATATTTTTAAGGTTCATTTGGAAACGAATCTAAAGAGTTAGTTCGCCACAATTCGCGGCTCGTCAAGTTAGCGTGCTAAGATCGCGAACTGAGGTATTTGTTTTTTAAATTATATATTTTTATATTTTATATTTTTCATATATTTTATAAAAAATTAATACTTATTTTAATTTTTTTATTGATTTTATATATATAATTTTTTAAATACTTAACTTTGATATTTAAATATTTAAATTTCATGTTAAGATATCATTTTATTTGATATTTTATATAAAATAAAAATATTATGTTTGTTTTAACTCGTCAATCGACTCGTTTACCTCAAAAAAATTGTCGAATCGACATAAATCAAAATTCTTCTGTCTCGTATAAAAATGAATCCAACGATTTAATTAATTTCAAAATGAGACGACTCATCATGAACCGAGTCGAACCGAACCGAACCGAACCGACCGGTTTGAAACCACTAGGTTTAACAAATGAGACGATGCATGCATGGTGAATAAATACTCAGCAAGTTGCACTTTGAATCTCGAGGCATATAAAAAAGCTGCAATGGACAACTCTCTTGTTGGATAAATTGACAAACTTGTGGGCTGTCATTTAAATTTAATGCTCGTTTACATATTTTTCAAGCAGCAAAAGTGACATTTGAATTGACCACAGTTCTTATAATATGTAACAATTTTTATTTTATTTTATTTCTGTGAAAACCATATGATGATGTTAGAGGTTACGGAAAAAATAAGTAAAGTTTATATAGTTATGTTTGTTATTTGGTTTAGATATATATTTTGTTATTATTACACAATTAGAGTTTTTTTTATATATTTTACATATATTGTTTTATTAAAATTTAAATCATAATTAATCTTTACTAATTATTTACTCAAATATCTATTTTAATAGTAGAAATCATTCGATATATGCTAAATCACAACAAAAAATCGTATTGATTGGTGAAATGGAAGAAAACCTTTAGAATAATACGCTTTGTTCCAACAACTTATATAGCTGTTCTTTTTATATAAAAAATGATTTCTGTCTTGAAAGAAAAAAAACTAGGGAATGTTGGGTATTATTTTATTAAAAGTTGGTTTAAATATAAAAAATAATTTATGGGTTAGTAGAGTTCCAACGAACAAAGACACAGAGAAGTAAATCCAATATATAAACTTATATAAAATTTCCATTTATTCAGTATAAATACATAATTATTTTATTATATTTCAATTCAATCATATATATATATATAATTATTTATTCAGTATATTGATAATTTACATAAGAGGAAATGTACTAAATGAAGGCTCCAAAGCTGAACTGGTCGGCCCATGTGTTAAAGACATCAATAATTTATGAGATATTTTTCACGAACTCTGTTTGAGTCTCCACGAGGTGAACCCTTTCAACATCGCTCATTGATAAATCCATCCATCAGTTGTACGGAAATCTACATTAGAACTCATTAATTAGATCACATATATTATATATGTGTGTGTATGTACACATATTTAATTTATAATACTTGATCAACGTTACTAAATCATTCAAATTTGGATAAATTATAAGTTTGGTTATATCTGTTATTATCAAATTTAGATATATTAGAAAATTGTATCTGTTTACGTTGTATATTTAAACCATTTAATTATCAATAATAATAAAAGGATTGTCTTACAAATTTAAACTCAAACTCTTTATAATTTAAAAAGAAAACATACTTAATAAATATAAACATAATTTATATCTAAATATTTCAAATATTCAATCTATATTTCGAATAACTACGTCGTATAGTTAAGGAAATAAAGTTTATATAAATTTAATTTTTTTTAATAATTCACAATACCATATATCCAAACCCCAAATGCATACTTAATGTATAGGATATTTTTGTCATTACTTAATGTATAAGATATATTTTCGAGATACAACGATTTTATGATAGTAATAAGTGAACAAATATTTTTACATATTCGATATAATTTTATATAGTTTAGGGGGCGGACTTAGAGAGATGAGACGGTTGAATAATTGAGTAAAGAAATTTATGTTTATGGTTTAGTATATTAGATAAAACAAGTTTAAACTTGAATTTATTAAAAATGTAAAAAATATGAATTTATATCATTAAAAGAGATGGATTTAGTTAATTTACGATAATATTTTTGTTGTTGTTGAAATCATTTAATTCAACTCTAACTAGTTATTAATACGCGTATATGCATGTATGTATCAGATTTCCATTTAATTATTTTGAAAAATTATATTCAATTAATTTTTTTTATTGTATTTCAGTTATTGTATCAGGTTTCCATATTATAATTTTATTATATTTCAATTCGATTCAAATTCTATCGGAATTTGATTTGAAAGATGTTGTCATTTCAAAATTAAAATTCCGTTTCCATTCTATCTACAATGCCAGAGTTTACATAGTTTTATTTTTATCCACGTAAGACGACCAGAGAGTTGCAAGAAGACTTAACTCACAGTCAGAATCTAATGAAGAGTGTCATTAGACATTCAGACAACTAAACAACAAACCAACTAGCTGGCTTTCTCTACGCTGTCTTCCCGTTAACACCAAAAGAGGAAACCAGAGACTATGCCTCCGGCTGAGCTGGAAAGCTTCCCAAAAACAGCAAATCGATTGACCGATCATATATCAAGATACTGTAAAATCCATGTTGTAGCAAGTGGGATTGCACGGATAAGGGCAGTCGATTAGCTTCACTGCTTCACGGTCGAAGTACCAGTCGCTCACGGTCTCTGCAATGGTCTGTCCCACGGAATGACAAGACCTCGGGTCAGTTCATTCAGGACTGTAAGAAGACAAGGGGTTCACATGGGATCTAACACATGGACTTGCTTGGATTTTGGATTGTATCATATGATGATGATGATGGTGATGATGAATCCAGAAATAAAATCCAGTACATGGAAAATTGGGGGGCTAAACTTAAAAAACTCTGTTAATCTTACCTTGTTGTTGATTCTAGGAGAGGTGGGTGAGTGCCATGTTACAGACATCCATGTCTGACAATGGACAAAGCAGGAATTTATGAACATTCCATTATCCTTTTTCTGCTGAAATTCCTTGAGCGCATCCAGCAGAGAACTGCGAAACCCTGCAAAATTTCAAGATGAGAATAAGCTTAAGAGATTTCAGCTTTTCAAGTAACAAATTACATGATTTAGACCATATCTCTCAGAGACATAAGAGGGCTTGTACATAGTTGCTACAGGGCAAACTCAAAGCTACTTCCTCTTACCCTCTTGATGTTGTTAAGGATCGAATCAAAGCAAAGTTAAACCGAGAATTACCATGAAGAACTTTAATTTGTGCTGCATCACACTCCTTAATATTGAGTCTGCATCTTGCCCAGCTCTGATCTGGATCCGCAATTGGTGGTACCAGCACATTTTGTATCTGGCACGTGATCAGTGTGAGAAATATGCAAAAGGGAAAAAAAAGAGAGGGAAAAGATGAACTAAGAGATCAATCACGAGAACAAACTTACTTGCCAAAAATCATAGGCTGGGTTGACGAGGAAAACCGGAGTCTTTACATTTTTAACGATTTCTTTAGGAAACATACACTGCGATTGAAGAAGCGTCAGTACCAAATACTGGAAACATCATACTCAAAGCAGGAAAGATTTTATAAGCAGAAGGTAATACTAATACCAGGGAAAGTAAGAGGCAAAACCTGCCTTAGATGGCTCCATTTTGGCTATACAATTCTTGTCCAGGCTCTTAGCTACACTCTGTCATCAACCATAACGAAGCACAGAACCACTAAGACCGCATTACATTACGACAAAGAACATAAAAGCATATATATAACAAAATATGATACATACCTGCAGGTACACAACATCATGATAGAAAGATCCCATTGTGGGATTTTTAAGGACATCAAGCCTGAAATGGAGGAGAAAATAAGTTTACTAAGTTTCATCTTAAATGACCATCTGTTATTAGTTAGGTGACTTAGATTCAGAAGTAACTCGGTTCAGTTTCATCACTATCTGAAGAGTAGTTTCTAAAGGTTCTGGAAACCGAAACAGCATGCAGATATTTTTCCTACCAAGCTTCTATGATGATTGAAACTATTTACAGATCCAATGAATTCCAAGAAAGACCGGGACTGATGAACAGAACAGTAGACGACTATGTCGAGAAGTAGTGAACAAAACACAGTCCGACGTGTGGAAAACATACTCATCGAGAAAGAAACCTCCATCCACAAGACATTTGACAGATGCATCCTTTGGCAGAAGATCCTTAAAGTTGTCACAATGTATAAGAGCCGCCAGTCCTCCAGCAGAACATCCTGTCAGAAAGGCCTGCATTTTATCAGATACAAGGGAGAAATATATTAATCTCCATGAACTGAAAAAAAAATGCAATGAAAACGAATTCTGCAAATGCAGAAGAGATACACTCATACAGATGCTATGATGTCAGAAAGAACAAGTAGATCATACTGCAAATGTATGCATTAACGATCTAATTGCTGAAGCCAACAACTATAATAATCGATCAATCACCTCAGCCACTAACTAGAGAAGATCTTGGTGGTACAGATGAAATGCAGCACAAATACTTTCAGGATGTCACCATTAACAAAACAACATCATTCCTTTCACGAGATCGATGAAGCTACCTGTTTGGCACCCCACATGCCCAAAGATATTAGTTCTTCCATAATCGCCTCCCAAATGAGCTGACCCCGGAAGAAAAGTCTTGTTTGATTCTGAGAAGACGGACAGAGAAACATGAGAGAGGATCGATTTTATATACTAAATTCAACAGATCTAACCCACATTCTTATTATTCGCAGACATTCAAAACCCGTTATTAGACATTACCTTTGATTCAGCTTCAGGTTGTCCTGCGAATGACGTGCCGTCACAGTACCGTATCTTAACTCTGTTCCAGTCAAAGAAATCTGAAATAACAAAACGCAGTTCATCACCAGAGTACGAAAAGTGGCCCCAGCATTAAAAACACTAAATCAAAGAGACACAGAGGATTAAGCTGTCTATTCTTGTACCAGGATTCTGAGATGGGTCACTGCTCAAAATTCCACCAAAGGGCACTTCCCGTTCAAAGTACTTTGAAGAACCTAACTTAGTCATTGCTCTCGAATTACATGATGCTGCTGTATTGCACCAGCCTCCACCCTGTAAGCAGCATCCATTCCATTCAAAAATTCAAAAGAAACAAAAACAAAAATAACTTCGGTTCGGTTCCAAATTCCGATACGAAAATTGAATTTCACCGGAAATACCTCAATATGAAGAATCCAGTTTCCGGAACCAGATCCGAAACCCTTCTGAAAATGGTACCCAGGTAAGCTTCCATCCAAGCAAACTACGAGAAACAGAAAAACTCAAGAACAGCTGAGAATTGGGAAATTTCAAAATCGAGAAGTTTAACTTGAAGAATATGAAATCATGAACAATACATGCTCCTCTCTCTTTGGCTTTACTCGATAACGTCAATTTGACGAGATTGTCGGGGGATGCAGTGGGAGAAGCTCGGTCAACGGAGGAGCCAGGGTCGGAAGTGAAATCGAGGTAGAAAGAGAGGACTAGCATGATGAAGGCAAATCCAACGGCTGCAATTGCACAGTCGCTCTTCGCCCATCTTCTCCACTGTATCGCAGAGCGAAGCCTCGGAATCGCCATTGAAAGACGACGAAGCTAAACTTCTTCTGAGAACAACATACTGTATTCATGTATACAATTCCAAGGGTCAATGGGACGCGTCAGCGAACTGTGGGCCCGACTGGTTCGGTAAGATGTCCAACAGGCATAAACAGGTTATTCAAGCGAATCTACCAACCGGTTCACTAGATTCACATAAACCAAGAACCGATCAACCGGATTCATTCAACCATCGTCTTGTAAAACGAAGCAAAACCGAACTGATTCGAGTCGGAACAAATCGAAAAACACACACCACGTCGTTTGTTAAATTTCGAAAGGAATGACATGCCGTTTAATCTATGGAAAACACCAGGACGTTGCAGGTTCCGCTAAGCAAACAGCAAAAGAAAAAAAAAACATAGACCTGTCTCTGAGCTGTGGTGCTGCTCACTGGTATGGTAAGTTCCTAATTCTACCAAATAAACCTCTGGACACCACCATGTTCATGGCTCCACTGAAATGGCCTGAACAAGAACATTGCCATGGTAAATACATTAATACAGAGGAAAATCGCTCCAGTCAGAAGCCATGTCCTGAAGTTGCTGACACCGGAATGAAGCACGAAGATGTAAAAAGGAATGGTGTAATATCTGAACTCGATAAGTGGCGCAGGAACAAGAACTGCGCAAGTACACAAGAAGTAGGCTAATACCCATGTCTTCCTTTGAGTTTTTCCTGTCGAATTGACGAAGAGGAAGCATGGAATCAAGTTCAAAACTGCATAGGCAATGTGTTTCAATGGCTGAGAAGGACAGATAAAAGCAATGTACCTAATAAACTTAGGGCTGAGAACCAGGAATAGACATAGAGTGGAACCAATAGGTACTTCATTGACCGATGAGCATTGATTATCTTCCTCCATGTGTAGAAGGTATAGTGCCGATTGTCAGCAAGAAGATAAGGATGAGCCAGGCTGGAAGAATTCCAGAATTATGAGACATAGTACCAGTGGAAGAGTGAGTTATGCAAGAGATATTAGGGAATCACCTGAAAAAGTGTACAGAAATGAATCCAGCTGCAAGAGCAACGATGCTAAATGCGAGACTGACGATCCCATTTCTCTGAATTTCCCGCAAAAGATTTCTAACTTGATCCAGAGAGAAGTGCAGAGGAGCGGTGAAAAGAGCAGAAACAAGACTGAAGTACATCATCTGCGCAAAATGCAGGGAAACAACATGAGCTTCCTTCGCACCTGCAATTTCGAGTAGTTGGATCAGAAAACCAGAGGGGCCAAATTTTTCATTTATAAGAGAAGGCATGGAAAAGAACATACTAAATTCCCGTACCAAGGACTATACCACCATTCCAAAGGATAAAAGCACCAAAAGCAATAACCACAGCGATAAAAGGGCTAAAATTGACCAAGAGCCTCCACTTCATACTCCAAGTTCTTGAAATTAGGGCCTGAACTTCATAGAATAAGCCCCCATTTTCTAGAAACAAAAAAGAAAAACCAGATACCAGTCAAAGATGAGGACCCTTTATGTAAGGCTCTACAGGAACAAAAAGAGCTTGACCAACTCGACATAAACAAATATAAAGCTCACCTAACGTACTTCTATTGCGGATATAATGGTTTCTCATATCTTGAAAGCCATTAGACTTTCTTTTTCTTAAGTTCGATCTCATGGTGGCACCTTTGCTGTTGGGTGGCTGATTCTTCTCTTGACTTGATTCGTGTATTTCCTCTCTGTCCCTCACTCCTGACAAAGTAATGTCTATGACACCCGAGCAAACAGCAAAAAGCATCCAAATGACATTCGTTTGCCTGATAAAAACTGCTAAAGTGCCAAGCTGCAATGATAATAGTATAAATAAGTTCCCCAGAAGTTTGAAACTTTAACAAGAATATGATTGAAAATTATCTGTATCGGTATATTTGTTGGAATTCCTACATAGTACATGTAATCTACTTAGCATTAGCATGCAACATTATCAGGAAACAGAATTAGGTTTCTAAGCATTGTATAGTGTTGTGGGTTAAGTATACAAGAAATAGCAAAACTGTTACATATTGCTTAACGACCCATAAGTCAATCTTATATGCTAATTTGTCTGTCCAAAAAGGGTTATAACCAAATCTAACGGTACTTTGCGGACACTTGTTACTTGCCTAGTTCTCCAGTTCAATGTCAAATTGTCAAGCCCATTCAACAATCAGGACACCTGATTTAAGAATCTTAATAATTTTGTCCAAACCTCTAACAAGAACATGGACTTTGATTCAAACTACTTACCAGGGCACTGAGCTTGTATTTCTTTTTCAAACATGTCAAGTACATAGCAAGAACAGCAGTCAGAGATGCAACGTCTGTATAGTAAAGAAAAGTGAAGAACCAGTGGAGGGGGTACAGTGTCAGGACCGCCGCCATAGATGTTACTGTTCTGTCATTGAGATTCGGCCGCAAGAATGTGATTATCTCATAAACTAGAACGCTGCAAAACACTGCCAGAACAGAATTTGTGGAGCGGAGGACGGATGTAGAACAGGCTTCCGAGAAAGACCGGATATGTCTCGTCAAGAACATGCCTGGCAACAAAGAAGCGACATGGGCAAGTGAAAGATAGTACCTGCAAAAGTTTTTAACAGCAAATATCAAGATGGGCAGTTACTCCTACGTTGATGCATTCCTGAAAAGCAGATAAATAAGAGAAAGGAACACGGAGAAACCAACGATGGAGGAAACCCATGCAATCCATTTTTGGGGGTTTCCTTTAAAGAAACCCAAGCTTTTTCAGTGTTGCAGAACCAATTTGTGAGTCAAAATTCACCTTTCTTCAGTCGTTTTGATCAAATTACACAATGAGGAAGCAAAATTTCAACATCAAACGGGAAAAGAGAGAGATTCAGCCAGGCAACAGAACTCGACATTTGAAGTGATTCAGAGTCTAAGGACGATTCAAGAAATATTTACGTACAATCCAGGAGGGGTAGTGATCATGGGATCCCAACTCCTCAAATTCCCTTTACAGTATTGCTGAGCCTGAGGCACATGAAAAATCTCATCCTGCAAAACCCACAGACTAAAGCTAAAAACAAAAGGAAAAAAAAAGATCAAATAGAAACGGGTGTTACTAGGGCTTTACCATGTAAGGTTCTGGAACAATGCTATTGACGATAATCGCCATGGGAATCGCCCACAAGCTCGTAATAGCTGCAACGACTAATTTCCCCATTTCTTCTTCGCCTGCTTCTCCAGCTTCGAGACAGAAATGCCGAAGTTCAATCGGATCCAAACCGGAGTGATTACATTCGTGGATCAGTTGGTTGAATCGGGAATAGCAATCCTCTTGAACACCAATTTTCCCGGAAATTTAGTGAGCAATGGAAAGAGGAGTCAGGAGATTCGATTAAAACGCAGCGTTTTAATCGAAGATTATAAAAGAAATCGTCCTCAGTCAATATACTTATGTAGGCTTTTTTTGGATCTGAGCCCAACCCATTCCGTCGCGTTGAAAAGTGAATATTTATAGTAGACTCCCAAAATTTTCATAAACACCTAATTAAGGCCTCAAACGTTTCGATTTGTCAAGCAAACCCTATAACTTGAAGAAGAACCATTTATTGTTCTACCATTTCATCAGAAAATCAATTATGTAACGTAAATCATGCATCAAACCTAATGAAAGACCAAAATGTTTTAGCTATCTTTTCTACGAATGCTCCAACGGACAAATCCGTTGGAAAATCAGTTGGAATTCGATGATTTTTTTGTAGTGCATCTCGTGTGTGTATATATATATTGCTCCAACTTAAGCATTTAATCAATATCTTCTAAACTAACTGATCTTATAAATGCTCCGAAAGAGGTTTAAAAGAAATCAGTTTGGCTCGACCCAGATCACACGAGCTCGCTCATTTGGAGCTCATCTAGACCCTGACTCATTTTTACACCAACCACTAAAATACTCAACCATAACTCGGTTGGTCTAACTCGCACACCAAACGAATCAGCTTCTGCAATCTTAACACAAATACCCATATAACACATAACTTCGGAATAACATTGACATAACATTCAATCAAGAAAATCCGCCAATTTCAGCTTTTTCCTGTCGAACCATAACACTCATTTACACAATACCGATGGAGTCGTGGCAAGAAAAAACTGATCAACTTCATGTTACCAGAACTTGTAGTAATTTAGAAAGCCAGATTCTTGTTTATTAACACATGACTATACAGAACTATGTCATACACAGAGAACAACCTACCAAGTCATCCTTCATATGGAAAGATGAATTGAAACATCCACGGAAACCGATCCTTCATTGCGATCAAATGTTTCAACACTTACAATAGCTAACTCGATAAGAGACGAGTAGTTTGTCCAGATGCAAGAAAAGACATGATGAGGTATGTTTCACAGAGAAGGTACATTTCTGCATCTTTTCTATGTCCATTTAACTCGAGAAAAAATATCACACGGAAAGAAAAACGACCACAATCTCGATCTTCTGACCAAACACGAGAAATAATGCGCAACCCATCCGCCGAATTCAACCTAAACACAGGCATCCCTATCTCTGCATTTCTATATACATAAACATGCCTAAACAATTGTGGAAGAGACAGACAAGAGCAGAAAACAATCGTAAAAGACATAGAAACGTGTGAGTGATTAGAAAGACAAGAGTGGATGTGCACGCTTCCGGTCACAATATCTGTACAAACATATTTACTAAAAAAAATATCTGTACAGACATGTTGATCACTTCTTCACATTGGATCTACTCATCGTGCATTGACTGCCAAAATTGTAGAAGATGGAGGAACTTTACAATGAGACATAAAATCGATGAAATCATCCAAGACAGAGACAAAGAAGCAGAACAGAAGCGAAACATAAGCAGAATCAAAAAGGAGAAGAGAAGTAGAATGGTACCTTAGTTTTACGGTGGCCAGAATCTGCAGCGGCCGGCGAATCGACGGGGAAAGGGTCGAAGAGAGATTAGGATGTGTGACACAAAAAATAAATGCATAAAATCGCCATCTGTGGGGATCGAACCCACGACCACATGGTTAAAAGCCATGCGCTCTACCGCTGAGCTAAGAAGGCTTTACGGTAAATATTATCTCTTTATCTTGAAATCGTCCTCGCCGTCAGCCAGCTGTGATTAGTTATAAACTCATGTAAGGTTTTTTCTCTTTGATTGTCTTGTTATTACATTTATATACATGATGCTTGTTGTATATGTTGCTTTTTGGACTTGTCCTGCTTTGTTGCTAATCATGTGATCGATGCTTTGTTTGGTTTTTAATCTTCTTATCCCTATTCAATTTTAATCTTTTGCTTCTTTTTTTTTTTTGGGGTAAATTTTGTATCTCTTTGTCTCCTCCTATAATCCCGCGAAATTGAAGCCCTCTTCCCGCCACTGTAGACACTGAAGCATGAAAACGAGGTCTAGATTCGCTTGCGGAGATCGATTCTCCCATCATCCTGACTAGGGTTTATCCAACTATCCCGACCCATTGTATCCTCGGTTTAAGTTTGTTTGATTTCCATGGCGGGTCAGACCGACCCTCATCTCTCTCTCTTCTCGGCGCAAGAGGTGGTTCTTCTTCTCCTTCTTTGTTTGCGTATGTGTGAATGTAGTTTCTGCAATCGTGTTATGGGTTTCGAATTTTGTCGATTAGATTGAGTTTGTGGCGGAGGACGAACCGGTGGAGATTGTTCCCAACATGAACATGGATCAGCTCAATTTCATCTGTGTAATCTTATATTCCACTCTTGTTTCATTCGAATTTTGTTAGTGCGAGTGAGATCTACCTAATGGTTTTCAATTTGAGTATGGTGTTGATTTTGATTAATGGCGACAGGGAGATTTCGGAAGGTTTCTTCCACAGATCCCGACTCAGGTGCCGCTGTGGCTTGCGGTGGCACTGAAGAAGAGAGGGAAATGCACCCTCTGACCTCCGACATGGATGTCTGTCGGTAAGACGAGCATTTTGCGGAATACGATTGGGTGATATCCGCTATGTTTCTGCATTAGAAAGAGAAATGTAGCTATTTTTCTTTTTGGTAACGGAGAAATGTAGATGTTGTTTGATAGTTATTCATTCTTCTAGAGAATTTGACCCGGGTCTTGGAGGGGGAACGTGAATCTCAGACGTCGTTTCAGACATTACCGTTCCATTATGTGGAGATTTCCAGATTACTACTTGACCAGTAGGTTCAGATTCTCCTTCTTGGATTGTTTCTCTTAGTCATTTCATTTAGCATCTGAGATTACTGATCAAGATTGGAAATTTTTATCGATGGCAGTGCACGTGATGATATTTCGGACATGTATATGGTGAGTTTGTATTTAATGTTTAAGCTTATTCCCGCTCTAGCCGATGCCATGAGTATAAAACCAGTTAATGTCTCGGAACTTTCATGGGTTACCTATCTAAAGGTAAGGTCACTCGTCGAGGACATCAGAAATGTGCGGCTTCATAAACTCGAGACTAACCTCGGGTCATTCAGTGGTACATATGCGGTAAAGGTGATTTTTTTTTAGAGGAAATTTGCGGTAGTGTGCCAAATGTGTCACGTCATTTGAAATGTATACCTTTTTTTTTCGCGCTTTGCAAAGTATACCTTTCTGTTAATTTTAGACAACAATACCCTCGTTTGTATTATTAAATGTCAACGGTGCCATTACCTTTCTCTCTCTAGAGTCTGTACAAAAAGGACGCGCAATTCCACAAGTTTTTGTCTGAAACAAACGTATTACTCTAGTTTCTCTCTTACCGACCAAAAGACGAAGTAAGCGGGAAAAATATTTTGGGGGCTAATCGAAGGTAATTTTTTCAAAAAATTGATATTTATCCTCAATTGAATCCGTCCCGGCCTGGACACCTGATAGTATTCCGACTCCCAGTAATTCCGGTTAGTCCGGTACATTCCGTGTTCCGGATGTCGACATCCGGAACGGGCTTGTTACTGGAACTCCCGTTCCGGATGATGCAAACCTTCGATTTCGTCCGGCCCGTAATAAATTCCCGGATGTACATGTGTCATGGTCATTTACACATTGTCCGGGACGAATAATGGTATCCGGTTGTCCACATCCGTCCGGGAGTGTACCTGGAAGTCAGGTAGGACGGATGTTGCGAACCTGGGATTTCGTCTGGCCAAATCCTATTATTCGTCTTGCTGGGCGCTTATGATTTAGGTCCATATTATATTCCCGGATGCACATGTTTCTGGACCATGTACACATTAATGTCCGGGATGTGCCGGATCCGGTTGTGGACATCCTTCCGGGAATGTTTGAAATGGTCCTGCAGCCTAAATGATGCGTACCTGTGGAATGAAAAATAAGTAGACTTGAATGTGGTAGTAGACTTTACTAAATCTGTATATCTGTGCAGATGTGGTTGTACTCTGTGTTCGGCCGGTGTAACTCTGGAACATTCCAAGTTGTAGAAGATATCGGTGCTAGAATGTTGAAGATACACCCTGGTATTTCTTATTCCGAACTTTATAAATTGGTATGTGAAGATTATGCTTTTCAATCTTCCGAAGAACAATTGGTGTTCAGCGTTCTTCCCAGTAGTTTCTCGGATAAGAAGTTATTTCCAATCATAATTAACAACGATAGGGGAGTTGAATTTCTTGTTGAAAAACTTTCTGGCGATCAAGAATTAGCGATGTACGTTTCGTCGAAAGCCCAAAAACGAGTTCAACAACATCGTACCGTAAGACGGGATGGACGAAATATATCATTCGATTTGAATTTGTCACCCCCTACACTAATTCATCTGTTGTTAAAGCGCCAAGTCAAAGTAAAGAAAATGGGAGAGGGGGTAGTGTCGGTGTTGGGTCGAACGATCCTGAAGGCCCATATATTCCTCCTGAAGGATGTGGTGTTCTTGTTGATAACGAGGGAGAGATTGGTGAAATGAGGTGTTTAGATAAATGTGTTGCGGGCGATTTATGTGACGAGGATACGAATTTATGCGACGAGGATGGAAATGATTCTGATGATGGCGATATTGTTGATTATGATTTTAACTGGTGGGACTTAGTTGTAAGAAATGATTGTGAATATCCAGTGGATAAGGATGGTAATGAGGTTGACGGTGATGATGATGATGATGAGTATAATGATGATGATGATGACGATGATGACGATGATGATGATGATGATGATGACAATGACGACGATAATGATGATCATGATCATGATGATGATGCTGATGATGACGGTGACAAAGGTCTTGGTGCTGATGATGTTGATGATGGTGCGGCTGGGGATGGTGATTCCGGGTTGTGGGATGATTTGGTTAGGAACGAGTTGGATGATAATGGAAAACGTGTTCATATAGTTGAAGGATGTTCTAGTGTACATAAATCACTTGACATTTTGAAAAAATTTGAAGGATTCGCTGTTGGTCAGTATTTTGAAGACAAAGATATTTTCAGGTTGGCGGTTTTCGTATAACGAAATCGTCACAGACATAATTGTGGCTCAATGTCCTGTTAAGGATTGTGAATGGATGATACGAGCAGTGAGAGACAAGGGCAGTAAACTTTTCTGTGTTCGTAAACATGTCTGCGTGCACACATGCAGTATCGATGATAGGAACAAATTTAGTCGGCCGCCGTCTGCGAAATTCATAAGTTATATGTTGGCAGCAAAATTGCAAGGAACGACGACGCGTCCGAAGGCCAAAGATGTGGTGAATGAAATGAGGGTTGATCGTGGACTGAAAATGAGTTATTGGCAGGCATGGAAAGCAAGAGAAAATGCTGTCGAAATGGTCAGAGGATGTCCAAAAAACAGTTATAAATTACTACCGTCGTATCTTGTACTGAGTATTTGGTAGATGATGATGGAAGCTTCAAATATGCATTCCTTGCTTTGGGGCCATGCTTGACAGGATTTAGTGTGATGAGGAAAATGATTGTAGTTGATTGTACATTCTTGACTGGCAAGTACAAAGGTGCACTTTTGAGCGCAATGTGTCAGGATGGAAATGAACAGATTTATCCACTTGCATTTGGCATTGCAGATGGAGAGAACGATAGATCATGGGAGTGGTTTTTCTGTCAACTTGGTTCCTTCATCCCTGATACAGCGGATACGGTCTTTATTTCAGATCGACACGCATCAATATCAAGGGCTATTCGTAAAGTGTATCCTTCGGCCAAACATGGTGTATGTACATACCATTTGTCGAAAAACCTGATGACCAAGTTCAAGTGTAAGCGCGGCACACCTTTGTTCAAGGAAGCCGCACTGGCATTTACAAGAAGTCATTTTGATAGAGTGTTTGATCAGTTGAGGAAGATTGATGAAGGAGTAGCTAAATATTTGGAGGAAATAGACGTCAGGATGTGGTCTCGGGCATATTTCGAAGGATGCAGATACAATATTATGACGAGCAATATTGCTGAATCGTGGAATTCTGTGCTGAAGGGAGCCAAAGATTACCCGATTGTACCTCTCTTCGAACACATTAGACAGACACTTACGCAGTGGTTTTTTGAACGTCGTGTCAAAGCGGCCTCCTGGTCACAAACGGTTACACCAGCAGTTACCACGCACATAGATATTCTTGTGGACAAAGCGAGAAAGCTACAAGTGAATCCAATATCTGCAGTGGATTACCAGGTGAAGGGAGGTCATGAAGAATATGTTGTTAATCTTACAGCAAAAACATGTTCTTGTCGCGCATTTGATATGATCAAGATGCCGTGTATTCATGCCATAGGTGCTGCTACGTGGTGCAAGATGTCTGTGCACGAGCTGGTTGATCCGGTATATTCAACAACAACATGGAGATCTGCGTATGCAGATTGTATTAATCCAATCAATGTCCCAATTGAAGAATGGCAAGTTGAAATACAAGTGGCGGACCAGTCATGCGCATTTCCATCCGTTAGAAGGCCACCTGGGAGACCGAAGAAAAGAAGACAACCGTCTTTTATAGAAGGTGTTTTGAACAAGGCGCGGAGACCCAATCAATGTCGACGGTGTGGGCAACGAGGACATAATAGAGCAACATATAAAGAATACATACGATGATCCCAGTCATAGTACCAGGGACAGATTTAGACCCGGGTAGATGTTCCCGGATAGAACGTGGTAACTGTAATAGTATGAAATGTGTACGTTCACAGACAATTTATGTGGGTTGGTAATCCGGATGGTTTGCTGCTTACGCAGTTGTAATTGTCCGGATTGGTAATTCTGATGGTATGCTGATTACGATGTTTGATTTCTCCGGACACGGTTTCTGTGCCGTATAGTTATCTGGTTTTCGTCGTAAGCGGTGGCATGAACATTGCGCATGACCCGGATGTGTATTTCATCCAGGATGATGTACGTTGTGTCCGGACGGATGGGTTATTCCGGGCGAAATTTGCTATATTCTAGGGACTCGTAAAAACTGAAAAGTCACATCCTTGTGACGGAAATACTATAAATAGAGGCATGACAAAGTTTACCATTGCAAAGGTAGTGGTTAAATTTAGGTTTATTTTGAATAAGAGAACAGTTTATGAAAGGCGCATCTGCCATATCAAATTCTTCCCTGGTATGGATTCCATTATCGGATTATCGTCGGTGGGTAGGTTTACCGTAAACTACTCCCATAATGGAATCCATATCAGGAAGTATTTGTCCGTTGCAGCAGTTGGGTGAAAAAATGATCTCCATCTCGAACTCCCCATATAACTGGACTGGATTTGTGGAACCGCAACCAAGCAGGCGGTGGGTTCCAGCACAAAATCAACAATTGGCTGATGAATGGACGTACTTGAGGATAGCAAATGTTGACTTCTGTTTGTTTGTTGTTGTTATCTTTATTATTTGTGTAAATCTTACAGAGTTTGTAAAAATTGAACATTTATTTCAATAAAATCATTTATATATTCGACATGTGTGGAGGGATTGTTGTACCCGGATGTGTTTTTTCCTGTTTTGTTCTTGTATCATGAGGGATATAAAACGTCGTGCAAAAATTTGCGGATTTGTTTGGTAAATTGGTAAGGCTTGTTCAACCCGGAGACTTGACGGACGGACAGAAACACTCCGAATGTACGAGAAATATGAACCCGGACACATGACGGACGGACTGGACGTGTTCAACCCGGACACTTGACGGACGGAGTCGACGTGTTCAACCCGGACACTTGACGGACAGACAGAAACACTCCGAATGTGTTTGTTGAGACTTGTTGATTCCGGGTTTGGACTTCTCCGGAAATATTGTCTCCGGACTGTAGTTATCCGGGTAGTTATGTAACCGTTCCCAGTAGGAAGGAAATAATGCCACTGTAATACGGAGAGGTGATAATTATTTCCCGGACACATGACGGACGGACAGAAACACTCCGAATGCGTTTGTTGAGACTTGTTGATTCCGGGTTTGGACTTCTCCGGAAATTTGGTCTCCGAACTCTACTTATCCGGGTAGCTATGTAACCTTTCCCAGTACACATGATGGACGGAGACGTCGTATTCAACCCAGACACATGACGGACGGACTCGACGTGTTCAACCCGGACACATGACGGACGGACTCGACGTGTTCAACCCGGACACTTGACGGACGAAGTCGACGTGTTCAACCCGGACACTTGACGGACGGACAGAAACACTCCGAATGTGTTTGTTGAGACTTGTTGATTCCGGGTTTGGACTTCTCCGGAAATATTGTCTCCGGACTGTAGTTATCCGGGTAGCTATGTAACCGTTCCCAGTAGGAAGGAAATAATGCCACTGTAATACGGAGAGGTGATAATTATTTTCCGGACACATGACGGACGGACAGAAACACTCCGAATGTGTTTGTTGAGACTTGTTGATTCCGGGTTTGGACTTCTCTGGAAATTTGATCTCCGGACAATCACAAACCGGATACAAAGCAATATACCGGACATATCCGGATAAAATGTATATGATTAACCATCCGGATTAATTACCATCCGGATACAAAGCATTATCCCGGACATGTATGAAGATATCCAGATAAAATGTATATGAAAAACCATCCGGATGAATGACCTTCCGGACACAATGCAATATCCCGGACATGTATGCACATATTCGGATAATATGTATATGAATAACTATCCGGATGGAATAACCGGACACACAAAGCAATATGCACGACATTTAACATTCCGGATAATATGAACGGTCGAGGAAAATGTATCCCCAACATGAAGTAACAGGATACTTCAACACAGCCCAAGGACATGTATGCAGATATTCCGGAATGTAGTCTACCTGTCCGGATGCAATATCCCGGACATGTATGCAGATATTCCGGAATGTAGTCTACCTGTCCGGATACTACAGTGGGGAACGGGAGTCAGACGTTACCGTAACCAATATTTAAATCTTCACCACCAATACTTTACTGGGAACCCATACATGTACAACCAAACCACAGCCTCTCTCGAAAAGGCGACATAGACGTTAGTAAACTACAATATTTTTGGAAAACATTGACTATGTTGCGAGACACGAATCACAATAACCACAAACACGTTAAAATGACTGAATAACATACATGTTATGGAATTCGTGTGTCGCCGGGATTCTTGTGTTTCGCCCTACAATCGTCTTCGCCCTAACTGTTCTTCGTGTTTTGAAAAATGAAATTTGGAGAGAGAAACAAAATGGCGGTTCCATTTTGTTCTCGACATGACGCCTCCGCTTCAGGAGCATTGTAGGGATTAAAAAAAAAAAGGTATACTTTGCAAAGGTCAAAACATTATTGTCACACTTTGCAAAATATGCCATCTTTTTGTCACAGTTACTCAATAACCCTTTTTTTTTTTAATACCTCCTCCTTGGCTGTATCTTACTGATTGATTGGATTTGTCGATGCTTTATGAAATTTTTCTCGAGAATTTTAGTAGGATCATATATATGCCTACGAGGAAAGGGGAGATAGCTCATTGCTTATTGTAGAAGGTACACCTCCCTCGTATTTTATTGTGAAGCCGATAGATAAGGTTTGAGACAGTGTTAGAGAATAGCCGGCAGTCTCGAGGGCATTATGTTATGGAGAACTTTATCATATGTTAAGATTTGGTGTTTCTAAGATCACGAGTTACGAGTATCAATCATGACTCTCCTTTTTCTGAAATTCTGTGAAGAACAAACAATCTGCTGATATGTTACTTGAGAAGGTTATTATGCTTATGCCTTTTGTAGGCTAAGGATTAAGGCTAGGTCAGGTCTCAAAAATATGTCTCAATGTATTCCCTATAACACCGCTCCCTAATTCGACATTGCAGATTTCTTATTTATCGGCTATGGAAGTGAATTTGGTTCGCCCGTTTGTTAGAAGAGCCTTAGAGGCATTCTATAAGCATGACAAGCCAGAGCCTTTGCAAGATCAAGATGCTACAACTAGTAGACAACAACGGGAAGCTAACATCGAACCCAGAGTAAGTTTTTTCGGATTGCCCATCATTAAGCATCTTCATAGGATCATTACTGAACTAGAAAATAGGAAGAAAGCTTAGAGGTAACTATACTTTGCAGCGACCTCTGAGGCAACGTTGAGGTTTTACATCGGTCCTTGCCTTCCGCCCCCCCCCCCCCC